ATTGAAAGAATTAAGAGTAAGACGGAGAATAGGATAGCAGATGAACAAGGAGGCTTTAGGAAAGGTAGGGGGTGTGGACCAGGTGTTTACAGTGAAACATATAAGTGAACAGTATTTAGATAAGGCTAAAGAGGTCTTTGTGGCATTTATGGATTTGGAAAAGGCGTATGACAGGGTGGATAGGGGGGCAATATGGCAGATGTTGCAAGTGTATGGTGTAGGAGGTAGGTTACTGAAAGCAGTGAAGAGTTTTTACGAGGATAGTGAGGCTCAAGTTAGAGTATGTAGGAAAGAGGGAAATTTTTTCCAAGTAAAAGTAGGCCTTAGACAAGGATGTGTGATGTCACCGTGGTTGTTAATATATTTATAGATGGGGTTGTAAGAGAAGTAAATGCGAGGGTCTTGGCAAGAGGCGTGAGTTAAAAGGTAAAGAATCACACACAAAGTGGGAGTTGTCACAGCTGCTCTTTGCTGATGACACTGTGCTCTTGGGAGATTCTGAAGAGAAGTTGCAGAGATTGGTGGATGAATTTGGTAGGGTGTGCAAAAGAAGAAAATTAACGGTGAATACAGGAAAGAGTAAGGTTATGAGGATAACAAAAAAGATTAGGTGATGAAAGATTGAATATCAGATTGGAGGGAGAGAGTATGGAGGAGGTGAATGTATTCAGATATTTGGGAGTGGACATGTCAGCAGATGGGTCTATGAAAGATGAGGTGAATCATAGAATTGATGAGGGGAAAAGAGTGAGTGGTGCACTTAGGAGTCTGTGGAGACAAAGAACTTTGTCCTTGGAGGCAAAGAGGGGAATGTATGAGAGTATAGTTTTACCAACGCTCTTATATGGGTGTGAGGCATGGGTGATGAATGTTGCAGCGAGGAGAAGGCTGGAGGCAGTGGAGATGTCATGCCTGAGGGCAATGTGTGGTGTGAATACAATGCAGAGAATTCGTAGTTTGGAAGTTAGGAGGAGGTGCGGGATTACCAAAACTGTTGTCCAGAGGGCTGAGGAAGGGTTGTTGAGGTGGTTTGGACATGTAGAGAGAATGGAGCGAAACAGAATGACTTCAAGAGTGTATCAGTCTGTAGTGGAAGGAAGGCCGGGTAGGGGTCGGCCTAGGAAAGGTTGGAGAGAGGGGGTAAAGGAGGTTTTGTGTGCGAGGGGCTTGGACTTCCGACAGGCATGCGTGAGCGTGTTTGATAGGAGTGAATGGAGACAAATGGTTTTTAATACTTGACGTGCTGTTGGAGTGTGAGCAAAGTAACATTTATGAAGGGGTTCAGGGAAACCGGCAGGCCGGACTTGAGTCCTGGAGATGGGAAGTACAGTGCCTGCACTCTGAAGGAGGGGTGTTAATGTTGCAGTTTAAAAACTGTAGTGTAAAGCACCCTTCTGGCAAGACTGATGGAGTGAATGATGGTGAAAGTTTTTCTTTTTCGGGCCACCCTGCCCTGGTGGGAATCGGCCAGTGTGATAATAAAATAAAATAAATAAATCTTTACCCTATATGCATTTCTGTACTTCATTAAGGGGAAGGGTGGAAAGGCACAGATACACAATGCAAAGCATGTCCCCAGACATTTACTGACCCCCCTTTTGACCCCAGCCATTTATAAACCCTTCGTAGTCCCATGACCTTAGGGTTGATACTGACCACTTGTGGAACCCTGTGAACTTTTTGACAGAAGATAAAAAATGGTAATTATGCAGCATAATAAAAAAATATTAAAAGAATGGGTGACAGAGATGTTAACGAGGTTCATGGAAAATTGTATTAAAACAATATTGTCATGAGAAACACAGATGAGAGAAGAAAACAACAAAATATACAATATGTGTGGAAGCGAGTGCAAGGTATAAGCAAGATCACATAAAAAGGTCACTCGCATGTAGTAAATGAGTGTTTCCAGGAAAGGGTTTGTAAAGGACATATTATGGAACTATAAAGGATGAAGCTTAAAGTATTTTGTAGAAGGATGTGCATAGAGCCACATGGAGCACTAGAATGTAAATTTTTTTTTTATTTATTAACACATCAGCCATTTCCCACCAAGGCAGGGTGGCCTGAAAAAGAAAAATTCCTTTCAGCATTTCACTCCATCAATGTCCTGCAGAGGGCATGCTTACACTACAGTTTAAAAACTGCACATTAACCACCCCTCCTTCAGAGTGGCGGGCACTGTATTCACCATCTTCAGGAAATCATGTTCAGTCTGCGGTTCCCTGACCCTTCGTGGTTACCTTGCTTTACACTCTAACAACACCCAAGTCCTGCACACTTGCTGGGAGGTCCAAGCACCTCACAGACAAAAACCTCCTTTACCCCCTCCCTCCAACCTTTCCTAGGCCAACCCCTACCCCACCTTCCTTCCACTATAGATTTATACACTCTCGAAGTCATTCTATTTCGTTCCATCCTCTCTACATGTCCAAACCATCTCGATAACCCCTCCTCAGCCCTCTGGATAATAGTTTTGGTAATCCCGCACCTCCTCCTAATCTCCAAATTACGGATTCTCTGCATTATATTCACACTACACATTGCCCTCAGACATGACATCTCCACTGCCTCTAGCCTTCTCCTTGTTGCAACATTCACCACCCATGCCTCACACCCATACAAGAAAGTTAGCATAACTATACTCTCATACAGTTCCTCTTTGCTTTCATGGATAAAGTTCTTTGTCTCCACAGACTCCTCAGTGCACCACTCACCTTTTTCCCCACGTCAATTCTACAACTCGCCTCATCTTTCATAGACCCATATGCTGTCACATCCACTCCCTAATATCGGAATACATTCACCTCCTCCATACTCTCTCCCTCTTATCTGATATCCAATCTTCCGTTAGCTAATTTTTTTGTTATCTCATCACCTTACTCTTTCCTATATTCCACTTTTAATTTCCTTCTTTTACATACCCTAATTCATCAACCAACCTCTGCAATTCTCTTCAGAATCTCCCCAAAGCACAGGTCATACGCCAAAGTGCAACTGTGAAACTCCCACATTTGTGTTAGATTCTATATCTTTTAAACCCCACACCTCTTGCCAAAACTGAGCATTCATTCTCTTACAACTCATCTATAATTATATTAAACATGGGTTTACCTCTATTAAATAGCAATAAGCAAATACTGTACAGTACCCATAAAAAAAAAAATTAATAAATGACTTTATGGCTGTAAATTATGTGAAATGCTTTCAAGCAGTGAGCAAAATTATTTTATTTTTATTTTTTTTTATTATCACACTGGCCGATTCCGCCATGGCAGGGATGGCACGGAAAAAAGAAAAAATTTCACCAATCATTAACTCCATCAATTCTCTGCCTGATGGGGTTTTAAACTACAGTTTTTAAACTGGCAACATTAACTCCCCTCCTTCAGAGTGCAGCACTGTTCTTCCCATCTTCAGGACTCAAGTCCGGCCTGCTGGTTTCCCTGAAACCCCTTTCATAAAAGTTATTTGCTCACACTCCTACAGCTCGTCAGTATTAAAAACCATTTGTTCCATCCACTCTATTCAAACACGCTCACGATGCTGCTGGGAAGTCCAAGCCCTCGCACACAAAACCTCCTTTACCCCTCTCTCCAACCTTTCCTAGGCCGACCCTACCCTGCCTCCTTCCACTACAGACTGATACACTCTTGAAGTTATTCTGTTTCGCTCCATGGCTCTCCACATGTCGAACTTACCTCAACAACCCTTTCCTCAGCCCTCTGGACAACAGTTTTGGTTCCCGCACCTCCTCCTAACTTCCAAACTACGAATTCTCTGCATTATATTACACCACACATTGCTCTTAGACATGACATCTACCACTGCCTCCAGCCTTTCCTCGCTGCAACATTCATTCACCCATGCTTCACACAGATTATAAGTGCGTTGGTATAAACTATACTCTCGTACATCCCGCTTTGCCTCCAAGGGACCAAAGTTCTTTGTCTCCACAAGACACCTAAGTGCACCACTCACTCTTTTCCCCTCATCAATTCTATGATTACCACATCTGTCATAGACCCATCCGTGACAAGTCCACTTCCCAAATATCGGAATACATTCACCTCCTCCATACTCTATCCTCCAATCTGATATCCATCTTTCATCACCCAATCTTTTTGTTATCCCATCTACCTTTACTCTTTCCTGTATTCACTTTAAATTTTCTTCTTTTGCACACCCTACCAAATTCATCCACAATCTCTGCAACTTCTCTTCAGAATCTCCAAGAGCACAGGTCCCAAAATCAGCAAAGAGCAACTGTGACAACTTCCCACTTTATGTGTGATTCTTTATCTTTTAACTCCACCGCTCTTGCCAAGACCCTCACATTTACTTCTCTTACAACCCCATCTATAAATATATTAAACAACCACGGTGACATCACACATCCTTGTCTAAGGCCTACTTTTACCGGGAAACAATTTCCCTCTTTCCTACATACTGTAACTTGAGCCTCACTATCCTCGTAAAAACTCTTCACTGCTTTCAGTAACCTACCTCCTACACCATACACCTGCAACATGATTATTATTATTATATTATATTATAATTATGATTAAGCAAATCACCAGATACTGATGCAAAGTTCACATAAGTGGTTTGCACTTGATTAATTACAATGACTTTTTTTGTATAAAATAATAATGGTAAAAAACAAGCCTTACTACATGAAGAAAAAAAAATGAAATTTCCCATTTCATATTTGGCATCATTCTGTTTAGTCATTATTTTTTAATTCTTGGTATGTTAGATTTTCAAGGAACTTCACAACAGGTTCCTAAGAATTGAGAGTTAATCTGCATTTTAGTGTGTAGTCTCCTAGCAAAATAACCAGAGGTTAGCACACTGGCCTGCAAGTCTTAGGGCTTGCTTGCCACAGGTTCAAGCTCGGCAAGTTCTGTGATTTGTTTGCAATCGTGTTATGATTTCACGAGTCAAGTCACTCTGATGTATAGCCACGAGTGTACAGCATTGTGTTGAACAATACAGAATGCTAAATTTATTACATTTCATACCCTGAGCTTAGAAGGAGTATCAGTCCCACTAAAATAGTCACTGGTTAGGCGATCCCTCAAATCTGCTTTAGCAAAAAACTCTCTTGCGGACATAAACGTCTCAGAAGCTGGTGAAGATGCAACCACTCTCTCTCCTGTTGATAAGTAAAAAAATACAGTAATTAAAATTGCAGTTAACAATACCAAAAAAATAATTTCTCCTATAAGTGAGTATGTACCTATTTGTGATAACATATTTATAGCTACAGGTGTACAGCAATGCTCATAGTGTCTCACCTCGTGTTTAACAAATCATATTTTTTTTTTTCTAATTTCTAATTAATGTAGCAACATGTACTGCCCATCTTCACAATTATCGCCTGCTCTTGTAAACCACTCCAGTGCTTGTAGCAGTACTTACTACTTCTTCTTGTAAATCATTCCAGTAGTTGTAATAGCACTTAATGCCTCCTCTTGCAATCCATTCATTACTGCAAAAGCATTTATTGCCTCAACACATTACATGGCTCTGCCATTATAAACAAAAAAATTTCTTTGGCACTACTTTTTCTTATTTTAGAACTCTGGCATCTTGTTCTCTCTGTTGATGGTGATTAAAATTCTATCTATTGAATCCTTTTATATCCTTTTATTGTATGATTTTACACAATAGGGTATGCAATTATCTTGTCTTCTCTTTCTCTCCTACTAGCTAATGTGGGCAGCATTTTTACTTTTTTTACCAGTTCTTTTTATAACTATTTTTTTCCCTAGTCTTCTGACTTTTCATATCACCCCCATATATCTCTTTTCATGGACACTACACTACCACAGCATATGTGATTTTGACTATATGTACATTTGTAAATCTTCTGGGGGGTAGATTTTCTCTATTCATCTGAAGGTTACTTTACAGTTTGCCAGTAAAGCATATGAATTCCCAACCATTTCATTTATATGATCTTCAGGTTGTATTCATTTGTCCACAGCCCCTCAATCCTTTGCCTGCCCACTAATTGCTCTTGTGTCTGACTGGAAGCTTGGAGGGCTGGAAAAACTGCAGAACGAAGCAATGAGGATCATCCTAGAATGCCCTCATACTGCCAAAATTTTAAATATGTGGAAAGAACTTTATATTCCAAGCATCAGAGATCGTGTTACTAAAAGAAATATCCTCATTTTGGTCAATATGCTTAGTCTAGCCCATTCAAACCCCTGCACAGAAGCCCTCCAAACTTTCCTCAGCACTGGTGAACGTCCTTCCAGATGATCGAAAAACTGGATCAGGACCTCCGCATGAACCAGCTACATGATCTATTTCAAGTAAGGCAACAGAGGCACTTCCCTGCTCCATGGGATATTACGCCATTCCAAAATACCATTCCTCCATTTCCCCCAAAAACTTTTCCTAAATCACAACCAAAGCTTCATCTTGGAGCCAAACAGGATGCCTTAAGTTGTATTGATAGCTTAGTCACAACGAACACTGTTTCCGTACACTGGTTCCGTACACCAATCTACTGGTGCAGCTGGTAGTGCTGCAGTTGTCGTACAGTGATGGCTTTCATGAAGAAATTGGAGCACGCATGAATAACTGGGCCTCTACCCTTCAAACAGAACTGTTTGCCATACTCCTTACACTCAAATGCATCCAGGTATCTAAGGTTGACACTAATTGTAACTGATTCTCTGTCATCAATAAATGCTCTCACTTCATTATAGATAAATTGTGGCATGCTTTTGTCAGAAGCCAGACAAGTTTTGGTAAGACTGTGGACAGTGGAGTCAGAGTGCACATGCTGTGGATTTCATCTCACATTGCTCTTCAGATGCATGATAGAACTGATGAATTGGCTAAGCTGTATGCTTTCACAGAGAGTAGATTGTCAGTTTGAGAACAATATTGACTTAAGTCTTAGGGAGACTGACACAACTCAGTCCATTTATCATCATTTCATCATGCAGGAGGAGCCACATGTCTATGATGCATCCAAAAAGATAAGCAGACTCTTGGATGACACTACCACCCACCTCCGGCTGGGTTACAAGTATCTTGGGCAGGTTAAATCACCACCACCAGATGTAGAACAAACGAAATGTAAATTCTGCCAGATGGACTATTGTCATACACTTAGTCATTATGTACTGGAGTGTGATCAAATTAATGAATTTAGAGACAACTCACTCAAAAATGTTCAAGAAATAGCAATTTTATCCCAAGTGGTATATTACAAAACATTCTGGAGAAATATTCTGACTTTGCTCACTGTATGTGCGTGTGTGTGTTGTGTGTGGTGTGTTGTGTGTGTTGTGTGTGGTGTGTGTGTGGTGTGTGTGGGTGTGTGTGTGGTGTGTGTTGGTGTGTGTGTGGTGTCGTGTGTGGTGTGTGTGTGTGGTGTGTGTGTGGTGTGTGTGTGTGGTGTGTGTGTGGTGTGTGTGTGGTGTTTTAGTGTGTGGGTGTTCGGTGTGTGGTGTGTGTGTGGTGTGTGTAGTGGTGTGGTGTGTGGTGTGTGTGTGGTGTGTTGATGTGGTGTGTGTGTGGTGTGTTGTGGTGTGTATGTGGTGGTGTGTATGTGGTGTATATGTGGTGTTTGTGTGTGTGTGTGTGTGTGTGTATTGTGGTTGTGGTATGTGGTGTGATGTGGTGTGTTGTGGTGTGTATGGTGTGTTTGTGGTGTGTATGTGTGTGTGTTATGTGGTGGTGGTATTGTGGTTGTGTATGTGGTGTGTATGTGGTGTGTATGTGGTGTGTGTGGTGGTGTGGTGTGTGTGGTGTGTGTGGTGTGTGTGGGTGTGTGTGGTGTGTGTGGTGTGTGTGTGTGGTTGTGTGTGGATGTGTGGGTGTGTGTGGTGTGTTGTGGTGTGGTTGTGGTGTTGTGTGTGTATGGTGTGAGTGTTCGGTGTGTGTGTGGTGTGTGTGTGTGGTGTGTGTGTGGTTGTGTGTGTTATGGTTGTGTGTGTGTGGTGGTGTGTGTGGTGGTGTGTGTGTGTGTCAGTGTGTGTGTGTTGTGTGTTGGTGTGTGTGTGGTGTGTGTGGTGTGTGTGTGAGGTTGTGTGGTGTGTCTGTGTGTGTGGTGTGTGTGGTTGTGGGTGTGGTGTGTGTGTGGATGTGTTGTGTGGGTGTGTGTGTGTGTGTGTGGTGTGTGTGTGTGTGTGTGTGTGGTGTGTGTGTGGTGTGTGTGTGTGGATTGTGTGTGTGGTGGTGGGTGTGGTGTGTGTTGTGGTGTGTGGGGTGGTGTGTGTGTGGTTAGTGTGTGGTGTGTGTGTGGTGTGTGTGTGGTGTGTGTGTGTGGTGTGTGTGTGGTGTGTGTGTGGTGAGTGTGTGGTGTGTATGTGGTGTGATATGTGGTGTGTCTGTGGTTGTTTATGTGTTGTGTGTGTGTGTGTGTGTTTGTGTGTTTGGGGTGATTATGTGGTGTGTGTGTTGGGGTGGTGTGTGTGTGTGTGTGGTGTGGGGTTTTTGGTGTTTGGGGGGGGTGTGTGTGTGGGGTGTGTTGTGGGGTGTTTTGGGGTTTCTTGGCTAGGGGTGGGTTCCAAACTGGTGCCCCATACTCCCAATATGGGCCTAACATTTCACGGTGTACAGGGTCCTGAATGATTCCTTATTAAGATGTCGGAATGCTGTTTTTGAGGTTTTTCTAGGCGCCATATGCTGCAGCAGTTATTTTTGGGTTTTGTTTCGCTTCAGGAGAAGTGTGTGTGTTGGTGTGTGTGTGTGTGGGGGGGGGGGTGTGTGGGGTGTGTGTGTGTGTGGTGTGTGTTGGGGGGGTTGTGTGGTGTGTGTGTGTGTGGGGTGTGTGTGTGTGTGTGGGGTGTGTGTTGTGGTGTGTGGGGGTGTGTGTTTGTGTTTTGGGGTGTGTGTGGGGTGTGGGGTGTGTGTGTGTGTGTGTGGGGTGGTGTGGGGGTGTGTGTGTGTGTGTTTTGGGGTGTGTGTGGGGTTGTGTGTGGAGGGGGTGTGTGTGTGGGGTGTGTGTGTGTGGGGTGTGTGTGTGTGTGGGGTGTGTGTGTGTGGGGTGTGTGTGTGTGGGGTGTGTGTGTGTGGGGTGTGTGTGTGTGGGGTGTGTGTGTGTGCGGTGTGTGTGTGTGCGGTGTTTTGTGTGCGGTGTGTGTGTGTCGGGCGTGTGTGTGTGGGGTGTGTGTGTGGGGGGGGGTGTGGGGTGTGTGTGTGTGGGGTGTGTGTGTCGGGGTGTGTGTGTGGGGTGGGGTGTGTGGGGTGTGTGTGTGTGGGGTTTGTGTGTGTGTGGGGTGTGTGTGTTGGGGTGTGTGTTTTGTGGGGTGTGTGTGTGTGCGGTGTGTTTGTGTGCGGTGTGTGTGTGTCGGGCGTTTGTGTGTGGGGTGTGTGTGTGTGGGGGGGTGTGTGTGTGTGTTGGGGTGTGTGTGGGGGTGTGTGTGTGTGGTGGGGTGTGGTGTGTGTGTGGGGGTGTGTGTGTGTGGGGTGTGTGTGTGTGGGGTGTGTGTGTGTGGGGTGTGTGTGTGGGTGTGTGTGTGGGGTGTGTGTGTGGGGTGTGTGTGTGGGGTGTGTGTGTGGGGTGTGTGTGTGGGTGTGTGTGTGGGGTGTGTGTGTGGGGTGTGTGTGTAGGGTGTTGGGGTGTGTGTGTGGGTTTGTGTGGGGTGTGTGTGTGGGGTGTGGGGTGTGTGGGGTGTGTGTGGGGTGTGTGTGGGGTGTGGGGTGGGGTTTTGTGTGGGGTGTGTGTTTTTGTGGGTGTGTGTGTGTGGGGTGTGTGTGTGGGGGGTTGTGTGGGGTGTGTGTGTGTGGGGTGTGTGGGGTGTGTATGGGGGGGTTGTGTATGTGGGGTGTGTGTGTGTGGGGGTGTGGGGTGGGTGTGGTGGGTGGGTGTGTGGGGTGTGTGTGTTTTGGGTGTGTGTGTGGGGTGTGTGTGTGTGGGGTGTGTGTGTGGGGTGTGTGTGTGGGGGGTGTGTGTTTTGGGGTGTGTGTGTGTGGGGGGTGTGTGTGGTGGGGGTTGTGTGTGTGGGGGGTGTGTTGTGGGGTGTGTGTGTGTGGGGTGTGTGTGTGGGATGTGTGTGTGGGGTGTGTGTGTGGGGTGTGTGTGTGGGGGGTGTGTGTGTAGGGTGTGTGTGTGTAGGGTGTGTGTGTGTGGGGTGTGTGTGTGTGTGGTGTGTGTGGGGTGTGTGTGTGTGGGGTGTGTGTGTGTGG